TATTGAGTATGGTGATCAGATCATGATATGAATAAACATAACAGTTTAAATAATGCACCAGTAAGGCCTTCTCGCAAACCACCATGAGAATTTCGGGGGGGGGGGGCTGAAGCCCCTCAAGCCCCCCCCCTCCCCCGGCTACATGCCTGCTGATGTGAAAACCTATGGTGTAAGCATAATAAACTAATGTTGATCAAGTGTGGCAGGGCACTGGGCAGTGTGGTGCGGTGGTGCATCTTTGACATTTGGCAGGAAGGAATGACGTCCTGCCCTGCCTCCCTGCTCCTGCTGCTCCTGGAGAAGTTTGGAGGATGGAGCCAGTGGGAGGGAAGGGAATGTTTTAAAGGAGATTGTATTTCTCGAAAGAAAAGGAATTCCTAAAAATTATGGGATGACCCAAACGTTATAAAACTTGGTGGGCTAAGAGTGGTAGATGTGCCCTCCAACTGTGGTGATTTTCAGTCCTCTCACCCTAAAACCGAGGGGAAGAGGAGCCTCGGGAAGCCCACCCTTTGCTGCCAATGGATCATTTTTTTTCTAAAAGATTTTCTGTACGCAGAACAAAAATGCCCATTTGGGAGTGTCCCCATTTTTGGGAGGAAATGGGGAGAGGGGCTTCCAGTTCAAGCGATTCTCCCAAAATGCACAGCCCTACTTGGAGAACTTCTTTCCAGCCAGAGCTGACAATCGTGAGCTAGATGGATTGACATGCTGAACTGTTGTAAAGCATCTCCCTTTGTTCCTACATTTTTTGACATAGCTGTGCAGTTTAAAAGTGTTCAGAATAATGCATAGATGGTTTCTGATTAAGTCAGTTCAGTTCTCCCAGCAGACGTGGCACATGATTGGGGAGGCAGAGTGTGTGTGTTGGGGAGGAGAGGCAACCAGTCCTCGTACGTCTCCTTCATTGGAGCCCTGCTGCCCTCGTTTGCTGTTGCGATCCTCCCTTGGGCAGAAGGGGACAGGTGCACAAGCCGTGAGGTGTGAGCAATTACTCCAGGAAGGCTGAGTGCATCCTGTTAATGCCCGTACCGGCAGGTGGCATTCTGATACACGGATCTGGCTGGCCTCACACCGGCCACCACTCAGCAGCCACCTGGCTGTTATCTAGGATTCCTCCTTCTCTTCAGCAACTCTGATAATGGCCTTCATTTCAATCATCAGGCCGCCGAGTACTAAAACATCAGCCCAGCTGGCTTTTATGTGTGATTTGATGCTTGTTTGCAAGAGTATTGCTGGGCTTTGATAGATTTTTGGGGGGGTGGAAAGCACTGTAAACAAGGAAGCCAGACTTGGAAGAGTGGGTGCTGGCTGGTCGCCCCTGCTTTGACATCTCTTCCTTTGTCTTGCCTGCTGAGTGGACATGTGATAAATAGCAGTTGAGTGGTGATAAAATATTTATTTCCAACTGGAGCTTGATAATTGGCTCTAGGCGAAAGTTAATGTGATTTATTAGAGGCTTTGTTTATAAAGAGATTACAGTGGAACAAAGCTGCAAGCCTTGGAGATGCCGCGCGCGGTGCATTTTGCTCTGTAGACCATTACAACTTCCCAGGCTCCAGGAGCTACAGCAGCGTTTGACCCCAAAACCATGGGTCAACCTCTCCTAATTGGGTGCCCTCTATATGTCTTGAATGGCAAATCCCATTGTCCTGGAGCCATATGGAAATTGGCAGGCTGAAGAAGACGGCAGTAATTTGGGCAGCTGTGAAAGCCGTGTAGGAAACTTGATGTTGTATAGACCTTGGTTCCCACTCTGGGAAAAAGACGCCATACAAATGCAACAAACCAATACATAAAAAGGAGGCTGTTCAGGTTCTGAACCGGTGCTTGGCAGTTTGTTTGTCTGTTTATTTAAAACATTTATATTCCGCCCTTCTCACCCCGCAGGGGATTCACGGTGGAGCACAACGTATATACGGCAAACATTCAATGGCAAGACATAAAACCATAAATATATAAGTAAAAGTAAAGGTAGTCCCCTGACATTAAGTCCAGCCATGTCTGACTCTGGGACTCTGGCGCTCATCTCCATTTCTAAGCCGAAGAGCCAGCGTTGTCCGTAGACACCTCCAAGGTCATCCAGCATTGTCCATAGATACCTCCAAGGTCATGTGGCCGGGCATGACTGCATGGAGCGCCGTTACCTTCCCGCCGGAGCGGTACCTATTGATCTACTCACATTTGCATGTTTTCGAACTGCTAGGTTGGCAGAAGCTAGGGCTGACAGCGGAAGCTCACGCCACTCCCGGAATCGAACCTGCGACCTTTCGATCAACAAGCTCAGCAGCTCAGTGCTTTAACCCACTACGCCACCAGTTGTAGTAGGCAATTAATAAAAAGTTGCTTAAAATCCATCTCAGGACAAAATTTTGCCTCATTGCCCTGCCCCAAAGGCTTGGTCCCACAGCCAGGTCTTCACCATCCTTCTGAAGGACAGCAAGGAGTGGGCTAATCTAATATTGCCAGGAAGGGAGTTCCATAACCAGGGGGCAATCACTGAGAAGGCCCTGTCTCTCATCCCCGCCAAATGCCTCTGTGATGATGGTGGGACCAAGAGCAGGGCTTCTCCAGAAGATTTTAGTTTTTGCAGTGGTTCATAAAGTATACATCCGGTGTTGGATGGGGTTACACTCCCCCTGAAGACCCAGGTTCCCAGCTTGGGAGTGATCCTGGATTCATCACTGAGCCTGGAACCACAAGTCTTGGTGGTGGCCGGGAGAGCTTTTGCACAATTAAAACTTGTGAGCCAGTTGCACCCGTACCTTGTTGGCCATGGTTGTCCAGGCTCTTCTTACACATCAAATAGGCTACTGCAATGCCCTCTACATGGGGTTGCCTTTGAAGACTGTTTGGAAGCTTCAAGTGGTCCAATGAGCTGCAGCCAGATTCCTCACTGGAGCGGCATACAGGGAGCATACAACCCCTTTGTGGCGTCAGCTTCACTGGCTGCCAGTGTGCTACCGAGCACAATTCAAAGTGCTGGCTTTAGCCTATAAAGCCCTAAATGGTTCTGGCCCAGCTTACCTGTCTGAATGTATCTCCCTCTATGGTCCATCTTGAGGAGGCCCTGCTCTCAGTCCCACCCCCTTTGCAGGCACAACTGATGGGGACAAGAAACAGGGCCTTCTCAGTGGTGGCCCCTTGACTATGAAACACTCTCCCCAATGAAATCAGATCAGCTCCCTCCCTTCTGACCTTTAGAAAGAAATTAAAAACGTGGCTGTGGGACCAAGCCTCTGAACAGTAAATTAAGTGCAATATGTGATATGGAATTATGACCAGAATGGCTCCTGGATTATGACTTTGGATTGTGTGATTTTAATAATAATTAGTTTTAATGTTTAGTTGCTTTTAATTTTATGTTTTTAAAATACATATGTTTGTTTTATTGTATGTTCTGTATATGTGGCATTGAATTATTACCTACTTGCAAGGCCGCTCCAAGTCCCCTACAAGGTGAGAAGGGCAAGGTATAAATATAGCAAATAAATACATAGATATAGTCTGGAAGACACAATGTGTGGTTGCTTTAGCATCAGGATTGGAGTAGCTGCTTTAAGTTTGAAAATGGGGCTTTAAGCAAATATGTTCTTCAGTTAGAAGATGTGTCAAAGGGTGACCAAGAGACAGAGTTCACGATGCCAGTGCACCTGGAAGTCATTCAAAGGTGACGTTCCAGGGAGATTGGTTTGCAGCCATGACAATGTTGTGAGCTAAGGAGTTGTACTATCAGAAAAAGACTGAGAAAGTATCAGGCCTGAGTAGATTTATAATAGTATTTCACAGGTACAGAATTTCTTTGGATCTTTAAATAAGTTTGTTATAGCTCATGCTTGGAGAGTGGAGATTAGTTTAATTGTGAGGACAATCTACGTGCTCCTTACAGAGAGAGGTCTGCCATTCATTTTCCAGTCCCAATTCAAGGTGCAGGTGCTTACCTACAAAGCCCTAAATGGTTTGGGACCTTCCTACCTGCATGACCATATCTCCATATATGAACCCACGCGTTCCCTTCGATCATCTGGAGAGGCCCTGCTCACGATCCCACCTGCGTCACAGGCGTTTGGTGGGGACGAGGGACAGGGCCTTCTCTGTGGTGGCCCCCCGACTCTGGAACTCTCTCCCCAAGGACATCAGACAAGCCCCAACGCTGGCTGTCTTTAGGAAGAGCCTGAAGACCTGGCTGTTCCAGTGTGCCTTTCCAGAATAGGAAACTCCTGGCATCAAGTCCCAAATGCACTTTGTTAGAGATTCAGGATTATTTGCACATTGCACCTACCTCCAAATACCTCTACATATCACTTGTCAAGTCCAGCACTTTTAAATTTTGTCTATTACACTTGGCCTGGCCCTTGGTTTTAAATGCGTCACTGTGTCATTGTTTTTATTGTTCTAATGCTTTGCTTGATGTTTTTATTTGCTTATGACTTTTATTGTGTATATTATTGTTTGTTGGTGGCCTTGGCCTTTGTAAGCCGCATCGAGTCCTTCGGGAGATTTTGCGGGGTATAAATGAAGATAATAATAATAATAATAATAATAATAATAATAATAATAATAATATGTCTGTTATGGACTATAGCCACTGCTCTTTGGCTGCACGTGCTCACTCGGCTACTCTTGGGACACGCTGTTCTTTAGGGAAAGTGGTGTGATTTCTTTCCAGCTGGAACTCTGAAAGCCTTTTCCTTCAGGGGAATGTGGGCACAGGTTCTTCCAGCAGCAGAGAGTGATCTGAGAGAAAGCTACCTAGAAATAAAGTCTTGCGAGAGACTGCAGAGCTGTTTGTATCACTTGCTCCGTCCAGAACATTGCCCAGAGCTAAAAGGTTAATGGCATGACTGCCAAATACAAAGGCTTCCAAGCTGTTCGAAGATGCCCAAATTCCAACCATTTCCCAAAGAACGCTTGGGTTGGCTTGCAGTAGAAATTAGGAGCCAAAGGTTACAACAACTGTGGAAGATAATGTTTTCCCTCTTTCTCTTCTCTTTCCCCAGGGCAGTGGTTGAAGCTCTGGCAGCTTTGCTGAAATCAAGTAAGCTCTTCTTCCTTGTCATTTTGTTCATATCCGTGCTTTTTCCGTGCTCTTTATAGAGGTGGAGATAACACTCCATCCTGATCCATAGCAAATCACAGAGTGCCAGAAAAGGGTTCCTGTGACATTTAGGGCATGCCTGGGCTCATTTACCGTGCATATATACTTCCGTAAGCAAAGTAGATGTGTGCCTGGGTATTACTAACCTAACATTTCTTACCAGGGCTAGAAATAATATGGAATAAATGGAGATATAGTGCTTGTTGTTGATGACTTCAACTTATGGTGACCTCATGAATGAGAGATCTACACTGGCAAATAATCCAGTATAGAATGCTGCATTAGCCTGGGGTGCCCAGACGGCACACAACACTAAGGCAGGGCAACCCGAGGTAAACAATTTAATCCCATTTCCCCAGCTCAATTTAGGATTGCCATAAGTAAGAAATGACTTGAAGGCACACAACAACAACATAGATATTAGGCTTGTTTGATTTAAAAAATATTGGTTCAAAACTCTTTTTGGATGTAGGGGACGCTGGTGGTTCGATTCGGAAGTCAATTCCGATTTTCACAGAAAAAAATGTTCAAAGTTTTTGAAACTTCCAAGACTTCCAAATCCTTTTGTTTGAAAGTATTATTTCCTGTTTCATTGGGTGGTCTTTACTTTGAAAGTAGTCGTTTCAATGCCAGGAGCGGGGAAAAGCAAACGGGAGGAAATTCACCCTTCTCTGGTTTATAACTCACTTCTCTGGCTTGAGCCAGAAGTGGGAAAAGCAAACGGGAGGAAATTCACCCTTCTCTGGTTTATAACTCACTTCTCTGGCTTGAGCCAGAAGTGGGAAAAGCAAACGGGAGGAAATTCACTCTTCTCTGGTTTATAACTCACTTCTCTGGTTTGAGCCAGAAGTGGGAAAAGCAAACGGGAGGAAATTCACCCTTCTCTGGTTTATAACTCACTTCTCTGGCTTGAGCCAGAAGTGGGAAAAGCAAACGGGAGGAAATTCACCCTTCTCTGGTTTATAACTCACTTCTCTGGTTTGAGCCAGAAGTGGGAAAAGCAAACGGGAGGAAATTCACTCTTCTCTGGTTTATAACTCACTTCTCTGGTTTGAGCCAGAAGTGGGAAAAGCAAACGGGAGGAAATTCACTCTTCTCTGGTTTATAACTCACTTCTCTGGTTTGAGCCAGAAGTGGGAAAAGCAAACGGGAGGAAATTCACCCTTCTCTGGTTTATAACTCACTTCTCTGGCTTGAGCCAGAAGTGGGAAAAGCAAACGGGAGGAAATTCACCCTTCTCTGGTTTATAACTCACTTCTCTGGTTTGAGCCAGAAGTGGGAAAAGCAAATGGGAGGAAATTCACTCTTCTCTGGTTTATAACTCACTTCTCTGGTTTGAGCCAGAAGTGGGAAAAGCAAACGGGAGGAAATTCACCCTTCTCTGGTTTATAACTCACTTCTCTGGCTTGAGCCAGAAGCAGGGGAAAAGCAAACGGGAGGAAATTCACCCTTCTCTGGTTTATAACTCACTTCTCTGGTTTGAGCCAGAATCAGGAAAAGCAAACGGGAGGAAATTCACCCTTCTCTGGTTGATAACTCACTTCTCTGGCTTGAGCCAGAAGCAGGAAAAGCAGGAAAAGCAAACAGGAGGAAATTCACCCTTCTCTGGTTTATACCTCACTTCTCTAGCTTGAGCAGGAAGCAGGAAAAGCAGGAAAAGCATTAAACGGGAGGACATTTAATTCACCCTTCTCTGGTTTATAACTGGCTTCTCTGGCTTGAGCCAGAAGCAGGAAAAGCAAACGGGAGGAAATTCACCCTTCTCTGGTTTATAACTCACTTCTCTGGCTTGAGCCAGAAGCAAGGAAAAGCAAACGGGAGGAAATTCACCCTTCTCTGGTTTATAACTCACTTCTCTGGCTTGAGCCAGAAGCAGGAAAAGCAGGAAAAGCAAACAGGAGGAAATTCACCCTTCCCTGGTTTATACCTCACTTCTCTAGCTTGAGCAGGAAGCAGGAAAAGCAGGAAAAGCATTAAACGGGAGGACATTTAATTCACCCTTCTCTGGTTTATAACTGGCTTCTCTGGCTTGAGCCAGAATCAGGAGAAGCAAACGGGAGGAAATTCACCCTTCTCTGGTTTATAACTCACTTCTCTGGCTTGAGCCAGAAGCAGGAAAAGCAGGAAAAGCAAACGGGAGGACATTTAATTCACCCTTCTCTGGTTTATAACTGGCTTCTCTGGCTTGAGCCACAAGAAGGAAAAGCAAACGGGAGGAAATTCACCCTTCTCTGGTTTATAACTCACTTCTCTGGCTTGAGCCAGAAGTGGGGAAAAGCAAACAGGAGGAAATTCACCCTTCTCTGGTTTATAACTCACTTCTCTGGCTTGAGCCAGAATCAGGAAAAGCAAACAGGAGGAAATTCACCCTTCTCTGGTTTATAACTCACTTCTCTGGCTTGAGCCAGAATCAGGAAAAGCAAACGGGAGGAAATTCACCCTTCTCTGGTTTATAACTCACTTCTCTGGCTTGAGCCAGAATCAGGAAAAGCAAACGGGAGGAAATTCACCCTTCTCTGGTTTATAACTCACTTCTCTGGCTTGAGCCAGAATCAGGAAAAGCAAACAGGAGGAAATTCACCCTTCTCTGGTTTATAACTCACTTCTCTGGCTTGAGCCAGAAGTGGGAAAAGCAAACGGGAGGAAATTCACTCTTCTCTGGTTTATAACTCACTTCTCTGGTTTGAGCCAGAAGTGGGAAAAGCAAACGGGAGGAAATTCACTCTTCTCTGGTTTATAACTCACTTCTCTGGTTTGAGCCAGAAGTGGGAAAAGCAAACGGGAGGAAATTCACTCTTCTCTGGTTTATAACTCACTTCTCTGGTTTGAGCCAGAAGTGGGAAAAGCAAACGGGAGGAAATTCACTCTTCTCTGGTTTATAACTCACTTCTCTGGTTTGAGCCAGAAGTGGGAAAAGCAAACGGGAGGAAATTCACTCTTCTCTGGTTTATAACTCACTTCTCTGGTTTGAGCCAGAAGTGGGAAAAGCAAACGGGAGGAAATTCACCCTTCTCTGGTTTATAACTCACTTCTCTGGTTTGAGCCAGAAGTGGGAAAAGCAAACGGGAGGAAATTCACCCTTCTCTGGTTTATAACTCACTTCTCTGGTTTGAGCCAGAAGTGGGAAAAGCAAACGGGAGGAAATTCACCCTTCTCTGGTTTATAACTCACTTCTCTGGTTTGAGCCAGAAGTGGGAAAAGCAAACGGGAGGAAATTCACCCTTCTCTGGTTTATAACTCACTTCTCTGGCTTGAGCCAGAAGCGGGGAAAAGCAAACGGGAAGAAATTCACCCTTCTCTGGTTTATAACTCACTTCTCTGGTTTGAGCCAGAATCAGGAAAAGCAAACGGGAGGAAATTCACCCTTCTCTGGTTTATAACTCACTTCTCTGGCTTGAGCCAGAAGCAGGAAAAGCAGGAAAAGCAAACAGGAGGAAATTCACCCTTCCCTGGTTTATACCTCACTTCTCTAGCTTGAGCAGGAAGCAGGAAAAGCAGGAAAAGCATTAAACGGGAGGACATTTAATTCACCCTTCTCTGGTTTATAACTGGCTTCTCTGGCTTGAGCCAGAAGAAGGAAAAGCAAACGGGAGGAAATTCACCCTTCTCTGGTTTATAACTCACTTCTCTGGCTTGAGCCAGAAGCAGGAAAAGCAGGAAAAGCAAACAGGAGGAAATTCACACAGCTTGCATTCTCTGATGAATCTCCTTTGGGGTGACACCTTCTGCTGTCAAGAATTCAATGTACATTGCTAAGTCGCATTGACTGACCATCTGCGCAGGGTTCCATACTTCACACTTTAACAACACAACCGTTCAATGCTAAGGCTTCCTGCCAAAATGGAACTGTAGAGGAGAGTCTACTGAACAAGCCAGTACCTGCTGCATACCAGTACTGCCATCTGTTGAGGAGTTACAAAGGTGGAGGCATTACTTTTCATTCAACCCTCGTATAAGAAAGCCATTCACACTTACCTCCAACAGACAAGAGTTCTTTCTCCCACCCTGGACATTATTCCACAGATATATAAACCTCACTTGCCTAGTTTCCAACAGACCTCCCAACCTCTGAGGATGCCTGCCATAGATGTGGGAGAAAGGTCAGGAGAGAATGCTTCTGGAACATGGCCATACAGCCCGGAAAACTCACAGCATCCCTGTGATTCCGGTCACAAAAGCCTTTGACAAAACACATCTACATTGTTTGTTCATGTAGCTGCGATCCAGCCACTGGTTGGTTCAGAGCTGCACAATTTCGTAGAATCCTAGAATCCTAGAGTGGGAAGAGACCTCCTGGGCCATCATCCTCCAGTCCAACCCCATTCTGCCAAGAAGCAGGAAAATTGCATCCAAAGCACCCCTGACAGATGCCCATCCAGCCTCTGTTTCAAAGCCTCCAAAGAAGGAGCCTCCACCACACTCTGGGGCAGAGAGATCATTGAGCTTCTTATTTTTTTCTTTATTTATTTCGGGTACTTCTACCCCGTCCTTCTCAACCCCCTAAGGGGGACTCAGGGCGGCTTCCAACTGACATACGTTGATGCCTACAATTCACACAGTAAAATACATAGTAACAATAAATTATAACAGTTAAAAATTACATTAATACAATAAAAATACAATAAAATGCCAGCCTGGTGGCCATCGTTTTGCCAAGTCCGTAATTAATAAATTCATTCCGCTTATCATAGTCCGTTTCCAAAGCTTTAGTCGTCATTGTCCATTGTCAGTCTGCCAGATTATCCAAAGGCCTGGTCCCATATCCATGTTTTTAATTTCCTTCTGAAAGAGAGGAGGGATGACGATGATCTAATTTCCCCGGGGAGTGAATTCCACAGGCGGGGGGCCACCACCGAGAAGGCCCTGTCCCTCGTCCCCACCAGTCTCGTTTGTGACAAAGGCGGGGCCGAGAGCAGGGCCCCTCCAGAAGATCTTAAATT